ACTGTGTCGTGGCCTTTATGTTCATCCACAGGGCAGAGATAACAGATACTCTGCTGATCAGTACGGCAAAACATCTTCATCACCTCATCGTGACGAGAGCAGATGTTCTCCTGGAGCTTCTTGGAGGGCTCCACCAGCTTGTGTTTCTTTAACGGAGCAGCATCATAATGAGGCTGCAGGTGTTTCTCACAGTAAGAGGCCAGACAGACCAGACAGGACTTGAGGGCTTTCAGTTTTCTCCCAGTGCAGACATCACAGGCCACATCTTCAGGTCCAGCATAGCAGTGATCAGCAGGAGCAGCTTGGAGTCCAGTCTTCTTCAGTTCCTCCACTAAAACTGCTAACATGGTGTTTTTCAGCAGGACAGGCCTCGGTGTGAAGGTCTGCCTGCACTGAGGGCAGCTGGGGATTTTCTTCTCCTCCTCTTCATCCCAGAAGCTTTTAATACAGTTCATGCAGTAGCTGTGTCCACAGGGAATAGTCACCGGATCCTTCAGTAGATCCAGACAGATGGAACAAGAGATGGTTTCCCGGTCCAGCTGAACTCCTTTCTGCGCCATTTCACCTCTCAGTGGCAACGACTGTCTGAGTTTCACTTTCTCAGAAGTGCAGCTAGTTTGAGCTCTGATCTGAACAGCATGTGTTTCTGCAGTGAACGGGGCCTGTCAGCTGCTGCACGTCAGCACATGTTGGTCACACCCATCTTCAAACTGTAGATCTGAAGGGGAGGGAACCAGGAAATATATGGACAGAGTGGAGCTCGCTGTGATTGGAGAGCAGGAAGCAGAGGGAGGGGATCAAGCTGCCGCTCATTCCAGGAAGAGGCGGAGCTCTGTGGATTCTTTGTTTCCTCATTTCCAGCGAAGCCTCGGTTAAAAGCTGCTCCCCGTTTGAAACCTCTAAAATTTTTAGTTGTAAAATCCTTCTGGGCTCCTCAGGCTTTGCTGATGGCTCCATATTTCTCCAACTCTTCCTCAAATTCTGTTCAGTTTTCAAACCAGGTGACTGACAATAATCAAACTAAAGTAAATCCTTAAACTGCTGTATAATCATAAAGGAAAAATAAAGGAGGGCAAACTAAAGTCAAAGCTGCAGTGAGTGAGAGAACCACTAATAAAGGCGATCAGTTCAGCTTCTTGATTTGAAACCATGCAGTCCTAGAATGTGTGGAAAAGGTGTCAGAGATGAGGACTCAGATGTTCAACTATTCCAATAGTTACTTGTAACTAAATCATTTTACCAGCATCTATTATTTAGCTACTGGTGCTTATATTTTAGTAAAAGTAACTATTCTATACTTTCTAGTAAGAAATGTTTCTATCAACAAGCCATTTTACTTAATCCTTAATGAATGACTAGTACCCCTAGTCCATACGGCCCGGCCCCTGTGTGAGGGCTGGTGTGTGGTTGTATTCTGCGTCTGCAGCTGGGGGATGCGGCGTGGAGTCGTTGGAGCGTTGCCCCGGAAGTAGCGCAGGAAGTGCTGTTGGAGAGTTGTGTGCGAATCCTTGTACAGTAGAAAAGGCTTTGTTGGAGACGGTCAGGCGCCTGGATAGTCGAGGCTGTGTGCTCAGAGCGCCGAAGCCGGGATCTCCCCCTGGAGCTGCTGGCAGGCGAAGGCCCCACAATATTCGAATTGTCGGAGATTGTAGGCTGAGATTGCCGGGGAATATGTACTATGTTGAAGGCAGCCGACATTTCAGACAAAGTTGTCGGGAGAAGCCAAAACAGCTTTTCTTAATTCCCTCTGAAGCGGCTGAGCTGCACTTTATCAGAGGTGCTGAAGTGAACATTTGTGTGGATGTGTAGTGAGATTTCTGTCTGATCACAAGTGTTTTCAGTTTCCGTTTTCTACCTCTGATGAAGAGCAGCGAGTACAGTACCAGACAGGCAGTCTGTCTGTCAGACGGTCTAAAGGGGGAAACCTACTACCAGCAAAGCAATAACGCAGACTAATGCACAGCAGACAGGCAGGTAGATTTTGTTAAAATATCATGACTTCATTCTCATCAGATGATGATTTTATTTCTCGTGATATTACAACTTTTGTCTCAAAACATTTTTCTGCAAATGTCAGAGAACACAGATATGTGGGAGAGACTTTTAATGTGCAGAAAGTTTTGAGCATGAGCAGAAAACCTGCTGAAACACAGGAGCTATTAAAGTGCAGGAGTTTCTAAATTAATTCTAATTAATTAAGCTAATTTATCATTGAGGTGTAAAGGTGCCACATGCACATTTAAAAAGAATTTACTACTTCAGTCATGCCTGCATGTATGTAGACTCAGCAGGCGTTAAATTAAATGAGAAAAGTTGATAGACAGGAGAAACATATTTGACAGCAATACAGAACGCCAGACAGCCGCACTGCGTTTTATATCTTGTCACCTGTCACCTGAATTTTGTGTTTCCTTTTCTATAAATAAAGATTTTTCCTCAATAAATTGGTGCAGAAAAATTCACCAGAATGTAGGAAATTAAGTGTTTAAAGCCCAAATTTTTCTTATTATCAGTAGTAATTATAAAAACAGGTGACCTGTCCGGGGTGTACCCCGCCTTTCGCCCAACGTCAGCCCCCCCCTGCGGGGAGGCAGTTGATGATGGTTGGATGGATCTATTTATTGCTTATGATATTTAATAATTAAGATGTAGCTCAATAATTCATAGGTAAAGTAGGTATAAAGTTCTGTTTAACAAATGGCATAACAAGGTAGCAACAGAAACAGGGATGAAAGATTTCTGGGCCGGGCTCAGCCCCCGATGTTTCAAGTGCCTGGAAACGCCCCTGGTTACTAGTAATTAATGAATAGGTGATATGAAGAAGATATGGCCACAAATGTTATCACGATAAAATAGTGTTTCTCAACAGGGGCGTTCCGAGGACGACGGGGGGCGCTGGAAGCAATATTTTGGAAGGGGGGGCGCTGAGCTGCTGTTGGGGTGCGTTTGTTGGTTGGAAATTCTAAGGCGAGTTTACACTTAAGATTCACAACAATACGAGTTTAAACTTTAAACTACTTGCAAAAAAACTGTGGTCTGCAACATTAAAACCTGCCAGTTTAGTGCGACTGGACGAGACGGTGTATTTTTTCTCTGTCAGCTACTTGTGGTGCAGCTTCGTGCTTTTTTTTTTAATAGCAATAGTAACAATAAAAAAAATCAACAATATTCAGGGCAAATAACATAAACATCTTTTTTGATGGGGGGCGGTAAGGGGACCTGGATAATGCATAGGCTGGCGCAAAAAAAGGTTGAGATCCACTGCGATAAAACGTTTCATATCTTTTGATATCGATAATTATCACGATAAGTATCAAATCGGAATTTCTTTCGAGTTTAAAGGCTGATTTTGAGTGAAAGTTGAAGAAACCTGATGGTTAATTGTGGTTTAAACTCTTCTTTATGGTCAGAATGGGACAAACACTTGATGCCAAACAGTGAATCACTTAACAAATCTGAGGCATAACATTCAAAAAATCATGATAAAATCTGTGTCAACAAATATGCACCATTCCTGAATGATTCAAGTGAATAAAATCATTGATTTATTGAATATTTATTGAACATTTGTTATTTTTTTATTGAAAATAATTGTATTGCAATAAATATTATTGTTTTATTGTCCAGCACTAGTCCAGCGTTTAAGCCAGACCTCAGCGTGATCATTACTCACAGGAGTAAATGACTAATATAAATTGCAATAAACCTGAATATCCCTTAATCTGTCCCAGAGGGAGTGCAAAGACTCCACCACAGAACTGCGGAGGGAACACGTGGACACTAAAGGACGTCACCATTACAGCGCTCTGCTGCTGCTATTTTTACCACACTGTCAGAGCTCTGTGGTCCTTAATCCAATAAGGCGAGCGTGAGGCGCACGGGACTTCAGCTGCTAATCCGCCACCACAGATTAAAGGCACAATGAAGATTTAATGAGTGAGGGAGGAACAACAGGGATTAACCAGGTTTACTGAGGGGGTCTCCTGGCTTTGCATGCTGGGAGTTTCTCTTCTGAAGGACATTTATGGTAAAGCAGAGCAGACTTGAAAATAATAATGTTGTTAAACCTATAAATTCAGCCCTTTTTGCAGCTACTAACTCAGAAGCTTAACATATAATTATATAATGTTAATAACACCATGTGAAGCTGTGAGGGAGCAGAACAACTGGATGCATCATCAGTAAGCATGAGGTCTGGCTGTGGCGTGTAATTAACTCTGCAGCCTCTAGAGGTCGCCAACAGAACGGTCTGCAGCGTGTCTCTGTCCTTTATTGATTGTTTTATAATGGTGGATGGGGGAAAGAGTATTTATTGGGTTGTATGTTTGCAGTCTAGTATTATTTGTTAAAGGTTAACTGAACAACTCGTCATGAGGATTTCTAAAAAACCCCCAAACTGACATAAAACAATTACAAAAAGTGAAGTGTGAAATAATACTGTTAGGTAAATTATTAAAATATTTAAATCTTTATACTTTTCCAATCAGTTGTTTTTTCCCTGCTCTCTACCTCCAATCAATTTGATTAAAAGACATTAAACTAAATTTATTTTACTCCACTATTAATCTGTCACTTCTTTTTTCTTTGAAGCCAGAGGGAACACGTGGACACGTCCGGTTTCTGAAACACCCATCCACCCCAACCACCTCCTTAGTCTGACTTCTCTGTTATTTATACTAGGCCTACTGTTAGCGGTGAACAGTGATGCCAAAGGCTGCGATGTGAGTTGGTACCAGACGCCGAAGGACGTGACAAATCGTAGGTATTTGACTGGTGTTTTTTCTCAACTTTCTTTTGCAATATATTTGCACATGTTTCTGTGTAACTGAACATCATCCTGTTGAGAGAATCTGAGGAATCACAGCTTTATTCTCATTAATGTTCACATTTAGTACACAAAAAACACATTGTTAATACACAGTACTCAACATTTGTTGTTCTAGTAAAATGCAAATGTTTAATAATCTAATAATCTAAAGTAACAGCTTTTTATATATAAAAATATCTTTTGACCGTGTTTTAAATGCTAAATGTGCAGCTGAAGGGTTGTTCATGCTATTGATGACAAAACTGCCTTTCTTTAAGAATAACTTGTAGAAAGAACTGGATGTAAAGAGCGTTTTTACATGAGGTAGTAGTTCATCTGCCAACACCTCTAAACCGTGTTGAAGCGTCCTGAGTGAGTCCACGGAGGTTTTTCTGATCAGCTTCAGTTCTCCAGCAGATCTTCTGCAAACGCAGGAGTCCAGTAGCTGTCCTTTCTCTCCCTTTTGCCTCTAGTTGCATTTCCTTGGGTTTTTGGTTGAGTTCTCTTTATCCTGGAGATCTGAACGGCAGCCAGGCAGATCATGCCGACCTGCCGGAGGAAACATTAACAGATTAGAAAGTGATCAGAGCTGCTTCTGTCATTAACCTGACGACTCACTGTTCAGATGCTCATGGCAGCCAAAGTCTGTTAAAAGTACAACAACATGGAAGGAAGACTTTCTCATCGTGTGGTGATGCAGTTGAAAGCAGTCCGCTGAAAAACGCTCTGTTGTTGGTGCGTTCAGGGAAACATAAGTATTTAAGAATTCATAGTCGGCGTTTATGTTTAGGTCCTGATGGATCTTTTTCTTGATAAAGTAAAAAAGCTTTACTCACTAAACTCCTAAGCTAACACATTTCTTATAGAGTCTTTCATCTCATGTTGCTTTTATATTAACTAACATCGGTTTAGAAGACATGCAGGCAGGCTGCACTGACTTTTGCCTTTTGCTGTTAAAATGACAAGCGAGCTCTCTGAAGTCCTACTGACCAAAGATTGTTAGAAAGAATGAATTCTTCAATTTGTGTAACTTTCTGAATAAGACATCACAAGACAGATAGCCAAAGTGACTCCAGTGTTTCCCATACATAGGCTTTACTTGGGGGGGCCGCCCAGGTGGATTAACAGCGACCCATTTTAAAATCATTCTTGATTGCTGAGTAGTGCATATTCGCTCTGCACATCCTTTCACTCGGTCACTCTCTCTCTCGCAAACACGGACAACAGACCCGTCTGTGAATTGAATGGCTGGTATCATAAACACCGCTGCACAAATCTGTCCAACACAACGCTGTCAATGTCGGAGACCCATCCTCAAAACAGTTATTAGCATGTAAGGAGCCCAGCTAATAATGAGAGTTTTGTTAACTTTGGAAAACAGCTGTCGAAGTTACCACGCTGTATAACTGGTAGTCAACAGGTGCGTTCGAGATAACTGACGATCTACCTCCGGTAGACTGCGTGAGCTTACTGTGAGTTTCTAACAATGATCAGGTCTTGCTCCCACGAGGTCTAGTGACGTTTTGCAGCGCAGGTGTTGTGCCGAATTGTGCGTGCCTGCCATGAACTGCATACACCTCGCAGGAGGTAAGGCTCTCTTATACTGAGAAAAGAGGCAGGTAGCCTACAATATCTGTTTTGCCGATTTATGCAATTCACTTCTTAAGGTCCTTTTAGGACACTTTGCTGTTTGAACGCGGTTAACGCCACATGTTTTTGCTGAATCTCAAGAAATGGTACTTTTACTAAGTGTAATAATATATTAACAATTCTTAACATTCATAAAATATACACTGATCATTTATCACTTTTGATGAACCCCACAAAGAATACCTTAATGCATTTTCTCACAATTCTCGGCAGGCATGCAAAATTAGGCATAACACTGTGACAGTAGACTGCCTGCCCCCCCGACACAGTTACGCTGTCAGTCTGCGGGAAACACTGGTGACTCAGATCCGGTTTGTTTCTAACAGTGAACAGCTCACATGGAATCTGATATTTTCCAGTTCGGATTTGGGCCCCTTTCATATGTGGTCAGAATCAGAACCAGATTGGATTGTTTGTAATGCGACCTAAATCTGGACGTCAGATCGGAGTTTGTGCTACTCTGGCGTCACTCTAGAGCGACCGTCATCACAATTCTGAATGGCGATGAAATACGGGCGGGTTAGCATTAGCAAGTATGAGCTAACTGGAGCTAACCTCCGGCCTTCTGTACAACAGCGTGCTGCATGTGATGTCCTTTTATTCTTCTGTGTAAGCTGGTCGCCTTTAGGCCGTGAACAGTTCACATTTCAGTCTGATATGGGGCACATTTAAACTATAATGTGAACTGTCAATCAAAGAAAATCAGATCTGGGCAATAAATCAGAATTAAGCATTAAGGCCGGCAGCGAGTCTCAATCTCCCAGATGAAGGTGGCAAAAAGGGAATCAGAGATGTGAAATCGTTCAAATAGGTGAATAATACAAGCACTCCTGGAAGACATGCATGGTGTTGTACGTGATAAAAGTGACAAATAATTTAATAAAAACTTTAAAAAGTCAACTCAACTGTCCACTCACAAAGTCAGAAACACATAGAAACTAAACCTGTCCTCCGGTCAGCGGTGTTACCTCGAGCAGCAGCAGGCCGGCAGTCAGACCAGCCACCAGCAGCAGGTGGTTTTTGGCCCACCAGATGATCTTCTCCAGGCAGCCGATGGTGAAGACGTTCTTACCAGCCATACGCTCCTCCAAATGCTGCATCCCATAACCACACATGGTGTTCAGCACCGTCTGCAAAAGAAAATAACACACTATTCCTGCTTCCCAGATGATGAACCCTTCAGACTCCAAGTACCACCCCTCACCTTTGCTCTAGCGCCACCCTCAGAACAAATTTTAGATGTTTAACTCCACTACAGTATAGACTCTGAGAACAGATAAATCATCAGGATGTTGTTTAGATTGTGGCTGTAATGAACACTGAAGCCTGTAGGGGGCGCCTGCAAGTTCTCACATGTAAGGAAACACATGGTTAATATTTACACATATGCAGATGATACCCTATTGTTTGGTTTTGTATCAACGCAACAAATAAAATGGTTCAATGCATTTATCATGTTAAATGCTAGAAGTTACAATATGAGCAGCAACTAAACCAAGACAGAAAGCCAAGTCAGAGAAATTGAAAATGCTGGACTCTAAACGTCGGCCATCTAGTTCACAGTCGTGGTTCCCTCATTGATCCTGACTTGAGTTTTTAACATCGCATGTTGCATGATTGTAATGGATCAAGAACTGTGAAAACACACCTGTGTCAATGATTGTTGTCCAGTCTCTAAAAGTTATTCCAAACCTTTCAGCCAATCAGAAGTGAGAATTGTGTGGTGTGCTTCATTAAAGTTAAAATAATAAAGCAATGGATATTTTCTTCAATATCAAGATCATGGGTAATTATCACAATTACTGTTGATCTTTGGTTCATAACATTTTATTGCAGTTTCTGTCTCGGTTCTGGGATGTTGGTGTTCAGGTTACCGGCTCTGAAGTTGTTATGCCTGTGGTGGTGTTGTCTTGTTTTACTACCTGTCTGTGTGTTCACTGGTTGTCTGATGTGACTTATCTGTGAACATGTACCTTGTTAGCTTTATCGATCCTGTGTATCTAAGTCATTGTTCTAGTAGTAAGTAGTAAGTTGTTAGTAGTAAGTTCATTGTTTCTCCTCTGTGCCTACCTGTGCTTTTGAGGATGTCTCGTTGGCCAGCCTCGTCCCTGGTGCTTCCCTGTTTTGTGTGGATTTATGGATTACCAACTGTTTGTTTGCGGATGTACGTTGTTTGGTTTTGGACTGCTTCATCATTCATTCAATTAAATACCACTAATTTAACCAGGTCCTTATGAGCTTCGGCATCTGGTCCCGCCGGAGCTCCACTAAGGCTTCCTGCTATTGGACTATAATCTTAAATTAGGATGTTTTGGTTCCAAGAACTGACAGAGATGGAACTCTAACTCCAGGCATCCGAATGTCCCCTAATAAACCTGTTTGGACCCTACAGGCCATGCAGACAGACTGTGGTTCTGACCTGGTTCTGTAGGTGAACGCAGCAGGAGAAGGGAACTCCACAGGCCTCCAGACTAGGGTTGGTGTCTAAACACTCAAAGTAGACATTGTGGGACCAGTCCTTGTAACTCTCAACGCCACAGCACTGAAACTGCAAACACAACAACAAGCCTCACAACAACAGCTCACTGCCAACAAACTGGATCATTAAAGACCTCTTTTCTCCTTAACCTTTTTCTGGATAAAGTCAATGGCGTTCTCCAGGTCCTGGTCCTCCCTGTAGCGGATGATGGCCTTCATCATCAGCCTTTCTGTTCTCTCCATCACCTGAACAGCAACAACAACACCAAGTTGGGTTTTTGTTTGGTGCTTTATTTTAAGGTAATTAATGCAGAAAAAGTGTCTCTATAAGATGGTGTCTATATTTTCTTTCTATTTCATGTCAGAGCAGTGGGATGTTACCATGTCTGTGAAGAGGTACCCCACGACTCCAGCAGCGATCTGCAGGATGAGGACGGCCGCCACGATCCCCAGAAACTGAAGGAGCAAATGACAAACAGCCTGAATGAGAAGGTGGTTGTGGTCGATGGATGGGTCAGAAACCTGACTTTCACCCAGGAGACGGGTGTTTGTTTTCCACGTGAAACAGTCAACATTGATTCTTTTTAGTTAACTTATGTAAATTACATAACTTCACTCACTTACGTTAAGTAACATAACTTAACCCAAACTATGATCTTTTCCTAAACCTGACCAAGTTAACCAAATTACAATGTTTCACATCGTTAACCACCAGTTTTATTTTGAAAGTCTCACCAAACGTTGCATAAATATTTTTTCTGACTTGACCATGGAGCCCTACAGAAACAACACCAAGGGCGTTAAACAGCGACGCCAAGGGGTCTGACCAAGTGTCCATATGTGAAGAGTGTTGACAGAATAAAAACACTGAACCTGATATCATTTAAAATTCAGAAGATATCAGCAGATCAGGGTGCAGTCTTACCGTCTTCAGCAGGCAGGTGGCGTTACGCAGCGCTCCGAAACATCCAAGGAAGGTGATGAGAAACATCATCGAGCCGACGACGATCAACAGCAGAGCTGGATCTATTGTCAGGGTGTCAACCACATCTGCACACACACACACACACACACACACACACAGCTGAATAGCAACAAGTGAAAGTTGCAACATGTCTGATTAATTTTTATGGCTCATCCTCAGGAATGTTAACAGTAGAGTATTGTTTTTGTAACACACACACACACACACCTGTGTAAGTAATGCAGGTAGGTTCCTGTCCTGTAAGCCCATGCAGGCTGGGCCCCTACATGAAGGATATAAACATAATATTCTTTCCCTTTTCCACTGCAGCAACATAACGTAATCTCAGTCTCTTTCTGACACATCCCTTGTTGCCAAACCAACATGTGGTTCTGCTGAGTTCCTGAAGCTAAGCAGGTTTGGGCTTGGTTAATACCTGGATGGGAGACTTCCTGGGAATACTAAGTTGTTGGTGGGGCAGGGATGGGGACTCTGTGCCGAATGACACGCCGTCCTTCAATTGAGACGTTTAAAACTGAGCACCTGGCTCGCTGTGGTCATTATAGACTCCTGGCACTTATCACACAGAGCAGTCTGTTTCCCGGTGTCCTGCCAAAATTTCCCAACCGGGCTTTCTCCATCTGGCCAGCAACCTTCCCCCAGTGTGATTGGCTCTTTGTTTCCCTCCCTCTCCACCACAAGCTGATGTGTGTTGAGTGTTCTGCTGCAAATGGCTGCCCTTCATCACCCACGTGTGTGCTCAGATAAAACGCTTTAGAAATATAATGCATTATTATGACAATTTTTAAATTCAGTAAAAACATATCCAGTGGTGGAACATAACGAAGTACATTTGCTAAAGTACTGTACTTAAGGTAAATTTGAAGTACTTGTACTTTGCTTGAGTATTTTCAATTAATGTCCCTTTTGTGCAGCTTTTAGCAAAAACCTGTTTTCACAGTAAAGCTGAAACAAAATCACAACAGCTTATTCTATTGTTGTCTGCTGCTGACTTTGCTCCCCACCTTTTAATGATCTAAACCAGGGGTTTTCAAAGTCTAAGACTGCAGGCGTCCATTCAGGCAAAGCTTGGGAACCCCCCCCCCCCCACCACCACCACCACCACATCTTTAGTTTACTTGGTAAGTTTCCTTCAATTCCTGGATGCTTCTGGGATCATGATTGTATTATTTGATCCCTAGACTCTCAACATTTGAGCCAAAATAGCCTGATACTGCTGTTTGACAGAACTTCTGACTGCACCAAATGGTTAAAAAAAGAAGCATTTATTAGTTTGTCTGTGAAGATTCTCAGTCATCCAGGTCATAGTTATCCACCGAGGATTAAAGTCAAGGGCAACTGAAGAAGCCGCTTGGATGAGAGACGACACGTCTTCCAGTATCTTCAACCAAGTCCAATTGCCCTTGACTTTAACCTTCGTTGGACATTTATTAGTTTCTGACTCTGATGGGGGGAAAACAGTTTCCAACAACCACTGTATCTCTGAACTTTCACACATGTAGGCTATTCCATGTGATCTCCTTTTGATAACTAATGCAATAAGTAATGTGATATTCTTTCACTTCCATTCACTCAGCCTCCCCTGAAACTGTTTGGAGCCCCCGCCCGCCTCACACTTTAAAATCCCCTCATCTTAATCATCTGTGAGTCATCTGGTTTTTACCAATTTCACAACATGCATCTTTATCACTTTGACACATTTCACCAATCAAGCCCTACTTGCAACCCATGTATGAGCATGTATGAGCCCTGTAGGACTCCAGTATGGATCTGCAGTTTGCAAGTAACAATCAACACACAATGAAAACACAGAAGAACATTTGTCCTAAACACTCACAACTTCCTGAAGTTCATGTCCCTGCACTGGAAAAAGGGCCCATAGTTAGTGCGGCCTGTTAATATAATTATTTTACCAACCGTTCTCCTTGGCGATCTTGGCGTAGATCCCCACCGCTATGAGCACAGCACTCACAACCTGCAGAGCCAATAAGATCATGTTTTATCAAGAGACCCACATGAAGCGCAGGTAACACTGACAAGGATCTAGGCTAGCAGTTTCCCCCCGCTTTCAGTCTTTGTGCTAAACTAAACACGTCCTGGACCGATTTCTGTATCGGACACGCAGAGATGAGACTGATATCCGACAACACAAAACACAAGCATCTGCGCTGTTACAGGTGTTTCTACTGGTCCAGGCGAGAATCTGAAATACTGACAGTGACAAAACAATCTGCTGTTCACAGGGCAAAGAATAGAGAAGCTCCTTTATTGCAGAAAAAGAAATGGGCATGAAACAAAGCTATATGGCAATACACCAGAAAATGTAACAAAATATATTTACATATTTACATAATCTCGAATATTTTAATATACTGCAGTATAGACATGTCCCCATCACTTAAAGCATTTGTTAAAAATATTTGCAACAAGAAACGTTAACCAAAAAATAAAAATGCTTTGAAAAAGGTTTAATTGCAAAAATAACAAAACATGCAAAGCAATGTTAATATAGAAGAAACAGATGTGCAATGTGCAAAAGTAACTGAAGCTAAAAAAACCCCCCATTAATTTATATTTTTACATTTTATCACCCGCCACCTGAATATCTATATGTTGATACATACAAGAAAGGTAATGCAATGCAAACTACAATGTAGTGACATTAGCTTTATTGAAACAATCCTTTATGAAATAAGGCATAAAGCTAAACAGATATTCATGACCAGCTTTTTCACTTGTAGAGGTACATACTATCGTGTATAAATATATGATAGTGTGAATGAAAAAAGTGTTAACTAAAAACAATATTTTGGGGAAAACATCACCACAGGTTTGTTGAGAGTTCTTTTTCACCTTCCATAAATGAAGCGCTTCTTTTCAAAATCACAGAAAGCCAAACTTGCTTTCAGACGCTCCTTTTACTATGAAGTGCTGTAACTGTGCTGGTGAACCGACTTCTAGTAAAACCATATTGTGCAACGGGTTTAAGAACACGCACTGCTGAATCAGATTCAGAAATACTTTACTGATCCCCGAGGGGATGTTCTTTGTTACAGCTGCTCACTTTGCATATCCAGGCAGTGAGGAATGGAATAATAATAATAGGAAGCATGTAAGAATATACAAATCTACACATCTGAACATAAAGTATTTTACAGTATTAATAGAACTGATAAATAGTTCTAGTGAATGAAATAGTAATAAAAAGTACTGGTGGATTTGATGTGGAATGGATCAGAGTAACCAGAGTATTAAAACAGATAATACTTCACGGTATTTAAGGAAAGCGATCCCACTAACGGATCTGTGAAGTGACACCTTTTGATCCAACAGAGACTCACCCAGAAGGCGTAGCAGAAGACGAACAAAGTGTACTTGATGGTTCGGTATCCGCACATCTCCTCTCAGCAGGTCGCTGCTGTTCCGTCTGACTGCTGTGAAACTCTGGTGGAGGTTTGTTATCTGCTGACATGACGGCAGAGGACGTGTGTCGGCCTGCAGGACGCATTCCTCCTGTCAGGATCCCACACTCTGCTGGATGTCGTCCTGTCCTCAGTGAGGGAGGAGGTGCGGGCCTGTCGCTGTCAAAACACATCTGTGTTCCAGACTAGGATCAGTCCTTTCAGCACCGCCTACAGGCTGCGGGGTTCATTACAGCCACATTATGGACAAACAGCCTCCTGTAGTGGAGCTAAACATGTAAAGTCTGTCCTGAAGGTGGCGTTAGAGGAAAGGTCAGGAGGTCAAATCTAAAGCCGCAACCCCTGGCTCTGTGCTGAAGAGACTTAAACCTGCGTCCTCTCTAGCAGCCAGCAGGGGGCGACTTAAACCTGCGTCCTCTCCAGCAGCCAGCAGGGGCGACTTAAACCTGCGTCCTCTCCAGCAGCCAGCAGGGGGCGACTTAAACCTGCGTCCTCTCCAGCAGCCAGCAGGGGCGACTTAAACCTGCGTCCTCTCCAGCAGCCAGCAGGGGGAGACTTAAACCTGCGTCCTCTCCAGCAGCCAGCAGGGGGCGACTTAAACCTGCGTCCCCTCTAGCGGCCAGCAGGGGCGACTTAAACCTGCGTCCTCTCCAGCGGCCAGCAGGGGGAGACTTAAACCTGCGTCCTCTCCAGCAGCCAGCAGGGGGCGACTTAAACCTGCGTCCTCTCCAGCAGCCAGCAGGGGAGACTTAAACCTGCGTCCTCTCCAGCAGCCAGCAGGGGGCGACTTAAACCTGCGTCCTCTCTAGCGGCCAGCAGGGGCGACTTAAACCTGCGTCCTCTCCAGCGGCCAGCAGGGGGCTTAAACCTGCGTCCTCTCCAGCGGCCAGCAGGGGCGACTTAAACCTGCGTCCTCTCCAGCGGCCAGCAGGGGGCTTAAACCTGCGTCCTCTCCAGCAGCCAGCAGGGGGCGACTTAAACCTGCGTCCTCTCCAGCAGCCAGCAGGGGGCGACTTAAACCTGCGTCCTCTCCAGCAGCCAGCAGGGGGCGACTTAAACCTGCGTCCTCTCTAGCGGCCAGCAGGGGCGACTTAAACCTGCGTCCTCTCTAGCGGCCAGCAGGGGCGACTTAAACCTGCGTCCTCTCTAGCGGCCAGCAGGGGCGACTTAAACCTGCGTCCTCTCCAGCAGCCAGCAGGGGGCGACTTAAACCTGCGTCCTCTCTAGCGGCCAGCAGGGGCGACTTAAACCTGCGTCCTCTCTAGCGGCCAGCAGGGGCGACTTAAACCTGCGTCCTCTCTAGCGGCCAGCAGGGGGTGACTTAAACCTATGGATGTCATCCTGTCCTCAGTGAGGGAGGAGGTGCGGGCCTGTCGCTGTCAAAACACATCTGTGTTCCAGACTAGGATCAGTCCTGTCAGCACCGCCTACAGGCTGCGGCCAGCAGGGGGAGTCTTAAACCTGCGTCCCCTCTAGCGGCCAGCAGGGGGCGACTTAAACCTGCGTCCTCTCCAGCAGCCAGCAGGGGGCGCCTTAAACCTGCGTCCTCTCCAGCAGCCAGCAGGTTGCGACTTAAACCTGCGTCCTCTCCAGCGGCCAGCAGGGAGCGACTTAAACCTGCGTCCCCTCTAGCGGCCAGCAGGGGGCGACTTAAACCTGCGTCCTCTGTAGCGGCCAGCAGGGGGCGACTTAAACCTGCGTCCTCTCCAGCGGCCAGCAGGGGGCGACTTAAACCTGCGTCCTCTCCAGCAGCCAGCAGGGGGCGACTTAAACCTGCGTCCTCTCCAGCAGCCAGCAGGGGGCGACTTAAACCTGCGTCCTCTCTAGCGGCCAGCAGGGGCGACTTAAACCTGCGTCCTCTCTAGCGGCCAGCAGGGGCGACTTAAACCTGCGTCCTCTCCAGCAGCCAGCAGGGGGCGACTTAAACCTGCGTCCTCTCTAGCGGCCAGCAGGGGCGACTTAAACCTGCGTCCTCTCTAGCGGCCAGCAGGGGCGACTTAAACCTGCGTCCTCTCCAGCAGCCAGCAGGGGGCGACTTAAACCTGCGTCCTCTCTAGCGGCCAGCAGGGGCGACTTAAACCTGCGTCCTCTCTAGCGGCCAGCAGGGGCGACTTAAACCTGCGTCCTCTCTAGCGGCCAGCAGGGGCGACTTAAACCTGCGTCCTCTCCAGCGGCCAGCAGGGGGCGACTTAAACCTGCGTCCTCTCTAGCGGCCAGCAGGGGCGACTTAAACCTGCGTCCTCTCTAGCGGCCAGCAGGGGCGACTTAAACCTGCGTCCTCTCTAGCGGCCAGCAGGGGCGACTTAAACCTGCGTCCTCTCCAGCAGCCAGCAGGGGCGACTTAAACCTGCGTCCTCTCTAGCGGCCAGCAGGGGCGACTTAAACCTGCGTCCTCTCTAGCAGCCAGCAGGGGGCGCCTTAAACCTGCGTCCTCTCCAGCAGCCAGCAGGGGGCGACTTAAACCTGCGTCCTCTCCAGCAGCCAGCAGGGGGCGACTTAAACCTGCGTCCTCTCCAGCGGCCAGCAGGGGGCGACTTAAACCTGCGTCCTCCGACTCTCACGCATTGAGCGTGAGAGTCACGCAATTGACACTTTTCACACGCCCTCACGCCATACATCAATTTTGTCACGCATTGGAAAAATTTATGTAGCCTATAACTAATAGCGTTGACTCGGCACGTTGACACTCCGCCCCGCTGATGCAACACCGGCGGACTCTGTGACAAGAATCAAGCAAACTCGCTCTCGCGCAGAGAATGGAAGACAGTTTGTGATCAGGTAACGTAGCTGGTAGAGTTTTGCAATATAAAACTGTATAATCTGAAGCACAGCTCTGCTCAGCTGGGAATCAGAGTTTCGTTTAGGACAGGTCTCATCTATAGTATAGCGAGTAATGAACAGCAGATTATAGGGGAGATAAAAAAAATTATTGTGATTAAATGATGACGTTATTCTCATAAAAATCTTTCTGGAGATGTCAGATTACACAGATATGTTGGAGTTTCCAACTGAATTAAAATGAATTCATTTATCCTTGAGGTGAAAAGGTTACAGAGACTAAATCATCACCTACTGAATTATATTCTGGTATATTTTATATTTTAAATTGTCACCTGCTGCCTGAGTTTTGTGTTTCCGTTGACATAGCCTGGATAAAAACATTTCCTCCATAAAGTGATGCAGAAAAGGCAGAAACTGGTGCAGTGTTTAATGATAAAACCCCAGACCCCCCCTCTATATAAGTAGCTCCTCCATTGCTAAAGGCTTATTATGAACTAACTATAATATGCCATAAATTCTCTAGAATTAAAAGAAATACAGTCTCTGGTTTTGAAACATAGATTATGGGGGGAAGACTCCCCAGTACCAGGTTTGGTCGACATTAAGGCTGTCATGTCTGGAGGTTGGCGGGTATCCTGATCACACTGATCTGAGCATGATTATTGACTTGGCAAAAAACCAAGATGGTGACGGCCAGAATGCCAAACTGGAGGCTTCAAAACGGTCGTGCATAAAACCAGCGGGGGACGTCATGGCGGCTACGCCCACTACTTTTATACCATCTATGGTCCCAACCTCATTTCGATTTGGGACCCTACCAGGTCTAAGAACATTTTCACACATTTACTTGCTATTGGAATTTTTTTTCTTTAGAGTTATGAAAGAACATTTTGCTTATATGAAAACCCTGTAACCCTGTTCCTGCTGCCTCCTTCCGCAGCCTTCCTGAGGGCTGTGCTGTAGATTGATCCACAGCGTCCACTACAGTGTCGGAGAGCAGTGGCAGGGAGCCCCAGGGAGCCCCAGGGAGCCCCAGGGAGCCACAGGGAGCTCCAGGGAGCCCCAGGGAGCCATAGGGAGCCATAGGGAGCCCCAGGGAGCTCCAGGGAGCCCCAAGGAGCTCCAGGGAGCCACAGGGAGACTCAGGGAGCCATAGGGAGACTCAGGGAGCCATAGGGAGCCATAGGGAGCTCCAGGGAGCCTCAGGGAGCTCCAGGGAGCCCCAGGGAGCCCCAGGGAGCCACAGTGAGCCACAGGGAGCTCCAGGGAGCCACAGGGAGCTCCAGGGAGCCACAGGGAGCCTCAGGGAGCCATAGGGAGCGCACCTCAACAGTCTCAGGACAAAGAACTTTCCTGATCTCCTTGTAGAACAGAAACCCAGCAGTCCTTTGTCTCCAGGAAGCCGTCAGCTGGTGAGTCAGCTGTCAGCTCAGTTTCTCGTCTGCAGCTGAACAGAAAAGGTTTTGAGGACGGGGTCGAGTCATGCGTCTTCTTCTGCTCTGCTCCATTTGTGCACCTCCTCCTCCCCTCCTCCTCCTCTCCCCATTAAAGCAGATTGTTTCTGTCAGAGGATTTCACTCTGCTGTCTCTCCCTCTCCTCTGCAGGTCGTCTTCCTCTGACTCCTCTGTTGATCGAGGACCTGATTGAGGACCATGGGCCTGCTGGACATCCTGTCGTCCATAAAAGACCGAGCCGAAAAGTTTCTGAACGAGAAGAACATAGTGACGGATTTTCTGGGGAAGGTGGAGGAGAAGACGGGGATAAAGAAGAAGATCCTTGCCGGGGGTACGTGAGCTTTTTCTGTTCACTCAGCTCGGTTCATGATCAACACGTTCTGGATGATTCGCCCGTCGTTCTGTTTTACATTTAGTAGATGTGCACTTACCTGTTGCATGAAGGCTGAAGAGGATTCAGTTAATCCTCCTGCGATAGAAGTGAACAGCTGCTGTCTGTAAACGTCAGCCTGTAAATGTTCTGCAGCAGTAGTTTTATAACACAGACCGCTCAAACAAAAACGAATCATCTCGATATAACATAAATATAAGAAGTTTATGGGATATATCATACAGTTTATACTGTGTATAAAGAAACACTTATTACATTTGACAGTGACGCAACAGATAAACACCTGGAGAGACAGAAGTAATAAAATATATATATCTAGGAAACGGTCAGTATAAACATGCAGTTGAAGTTTACATTTACATTTACAGCTTTTTCTTGATATTTAATCCTTGTAAATGTTCCTGTCTGAGGTCAGTGAGGATCACAACTTTATTTTAAGAGTGTGAAATACCAGAATAACAACAGAGAGAATGATTAATTTCAGCTTTAATTTCTTTCATCACAATCCCAGTGGGTCAAAGTTTTACATGCACTGAGTTCATGGGGGACATACAAATGTCTGATTCTGTCCCCACCACATTATGAAAGCATAAATGTTCTGAGAAATAGCTTGGAACAAGAAATGTTAAATAACAAATGAAAATGCTTTGATAAAAGTTCATTTGCACAATAAGAAAACCTACAATGCAGTTAAAATACCGAAGAAAGAAAGAAATGTGCATTGACCAAAAAACACTAACTTAAGCTAAAAAAAACAACTTGCTGATTATAAAATGACCCAAAAACGTGCAGGACCGATCAGTAACTTTAACAACTTGACCAAACAGGAGGGAAGACTAAATCAGGACTCTGCAGGGACAATATTACAGGAGAATGCAGCACAGAGAGCTGCACTCACTCAGATTCTGTGAGAGGTTTGGAGTAAATTTACATTTATTCATTTAGCTGACGCTTTTATCAAAAGCGACTTGTAATTGCTGTACATGAGAGGTCAGAGGTCGCGCGCCTCTGAAGCAACGAGGGGTTAAGTGTCTTGCTCAGGGACACAATAATTGATGTGATGGAGACAAAATCAGCCATTTCAAAGGCATGCGTCTTGTCCACTGCGCCATCTCCACTAGAGCTGCAACTAATGACTAATGATGATTAGTCGACTACTCACGATTATTTTTGTCCCCCCCGCCCTAATTAAACCAGTTAAATATATAAATATATATATAAATACCTAATTAAATATCTTTCAAGTGACTCACTGATCTCCAACACGCAGCCTGACGAGCTAACGTTACCATCAAGTGAACGAGGTTTACTATTCAGAATAAACACCAGTATCAACGCCAGGGGGAAACCAGAGAAGAAGACAAGACAGCGTCGGCCGATTTATACAAACTTTAAAACTTTTAACTGCTTAACAAAGATTTTTGCTTTGGAACTATATAAAGTAAAAGCAAATTAAAAGCAATTACTAAAACCACAACTTTACACTAACAGTGTCTATTTAGAACAATAAAGCAACAGGCAGCTTTCACGCTGCTGCAGTTTATTTATCAAGAGTGCTTATAGGTTTTAGGCTATAACTCAGTGGAGAACGTTCTGCAGGCTGCATCACGAGCCAGATGTTCCTGTACTTTGAACCTTTACTCATTACTTTTTAAAGCTGGGTCTCATCGCAGTGGAAGCGATGCTGCCCCAGCACTTCCTGTGGTGCACTGCAGTTAGAAACGAACAACCAGAAATGTTCCCTACATGAAGATCGCTACCTCTCCCTTAAACAGCATCTCTGTAAGGACGCGTCTAATCGTTGCAGCCCTAATCACCAAACCCCAAATTGGTGCAGAAACTTTGACTTTTTGAAGATTTCCTCAAAACCCTGTTTAAAGATCGTCTCGTCTCGTGAGCCCCTCTGTCCTCACCACTTTCTAACACAAAGTGACGCCCTTGACCAAGTTAGTTTTTAGTGCCGTTGCCTTTAAGTAGTTTAACTTGGGTCAAACGGTCCGGGGAGCTTTTCACAAGCTTCTCACTGTAAGTTTCTGACAGAACTGATGAAACTGAGTTGGGTTTGTTGACCTCCCTGCTCGCACACCTTAAGTACACATACATGCAGTAAATCAACGTACTTTTACTTTTACAATCGCAGCCGCTGCAGCTTCCTTGGCCGCCATTTTCACAAGTTTAAAAATCCGTTGTTGGTCCCTCCCCTTCCATTACGTAGCAAAGATGGCGGCCGTTGAGGGTGAGAAGTGTCCAGCGTTCCACACTCAACCTTTTGACCCTTATGAGTTCTCCTGTCAAAGCACTGAGGTCGTCCGATCCGATGCTCCTCGATGTTCCCAGATCAGGTTAAAACTAAGAAAGCTACTAAGAGAGCAGTGGCTGCTCCCAATTATTTTACCTTTTCATATCAGAACTGCTCGAGCTGCTGACATGTTCAAGTCCTTTCTGAAGATCCACCTCTGTTTGAACTTCTGACCAGTGGAAGTGTGATTTAGTGAATTACAGGTGAAATAATCTGTCTGTGAACAAACTTTTGTCCTGCACAAAGAGAAACGTCCTAACGGACCTTCCACAACTATAATTTGTTCACATGAAATCTGCTCAGTGGTTAAAAAATGAGTTTTAATGTCTGAGTGTCTGTAAACGTCTGACTTCAACTGTATATAATTTTGAATAAAGATAAGAAGAACAAAAGAATTATGTTGCTAAGAGTTGTTGCAGGTGTAGACAGGTGTAGAGGAAGGGGCCGAGGACCAGTGGGGCTTCAGTGTTGGCGGGGATGGATGGAGATGTTGCCGTCCCGAAACTTACCGTCTGTCGCTGAGGAGGTTTAGTATCTAGTGGAGGTGCTGCAGCTTCTTGATCATCTGATGAAGAAGGTGTCGTCTGCAGATTGTAAAGCCCCCTGAAGAAAACAGTGATGTTGGGCTGTATAAATAAAACTGACCTGACTTGATGCTGCTGGATCGGGAAGTTGATTCGAGGTGTTGGAAGCGATATATAGACTGGCTCCTCATGAGTAGTGTGGAAGATGTTAGTGTTCTTTGATTTGATAGTGGATGTTTTCCCGATGATGGGAACTGCTGAGTGGAGACAGATCTAAATGTTCTCCTGAGAAACACATAGTCAGTAGATTATATGTCTGTTATATTTTCATATATGGTCACCAAAATCATTGCAATTGTCAGAATGGCGTCCACAAAAAGTGCTTCTTGTTGGTTGTGTACATAGAGGAGCTGCTAGCTAGACTTTATTTCCCAACGTTACTCCAACACAACAAACTCCTCTCATGTTTCCACCGTCGTCTTCCTGCAAGAACTCTCACGAGATTTCAGAGCGAGAACTGTTCACGGCTGCCGGCTGAAGCATCTAAACCTTTTGTACCTATGAGGCACCAACATGTCTGAAAATAAGGCAGGCGTTTCTAAATCACTGTGTGCGTGTTGGTCTTTATTTTCTCTCTTTTTAAATATGAAAGCAACATTTAGTTAAAACTCAACATCCACTTACTACTGAAGCTTTCAGCACATCTGGTGGCCTTCCCCACCGCTTCATCATAGGTCAGCGTTTATTCATCAACTCTGTTTCTGGTTTTATCCACATGCAACTTTTGATCACAAACCTTTCTCATGTTGACACCGGAGGCCCAACATGTCAGGTTATTACCATTTACACAGAATGTTGTGTAATTATAACTCTACATATTTGAATCTTGCTGCAGTATAATTGACTTTATTATCTCCACTGTTCTTGTTTTTCCATTCAGGTTTTTTATGCTCAAGTGTACATATGAACAGATAGAAACACACTTGTAGTTACACAGATACAGAAGGGTGTTTCTTTCCATAATAGTGCTGCAGCTAACCATTATTGTCATTGTTGATAAATCTGTTGATTATTTTCTCGATAAACCGATTAGTCGTTGGTCTATAAAGTGTCAGAAAATTGTAAAAAAATGTCGATCACTGTTTCCCAAAGCCCAAGGAGACGTCCATAAAAGTCTTGTTCTGTCCACAACCCAAAGATATTCACTTTACTGTCACAGAGGAGCAAAGAAACCTGAAAATATTCACATTTAAAAGCTGCAATCAGACTCAAACCGATTAGCTCTAACAAACTATCTTTAGCTGAATCCAGGTTGGAACAACAAGGCAATTCAGAGTGCGTTACATAAAGACATACAGGGCTATATATATATATATATAATATATAAGGAGCAAAATCTAAATTAAATGAAGATAAAAATAAGAATAAATAGATTAAGACAAATCGTGCAGTAAAATAAAAATGACAGCCACAACAAAATATAATTATTATATATAATTTAGTAATATGCAGTGGCAAACAGAGAAGTTTTAGGCTTTAAAAGAAGTGAGTGTGAGCAGATCTTCAGGTTTTGATCCTGATATGTGGAGAATTAAAACAGCTGATGACAGTAAGACGCCTGCTGAAAGCGTTGATCCGGCCTGGATCTAACCGGGAGCGTTGGATGCAGGGAGGCTGCGGTGACGGGAGATTTTAAATATAAACGCTCACTGTTGCAGCGACGCTCCGGATCAAACTCTTGCATTAACAAGAGGAGAAACAAACAATGAATATTGAACACTGATCAGTTTGTTACTCGCAGTATTCAGTTCCTGAGCAGTGAACAGCAGTCTATTCACACCACGCTGGTGCTCGTACAGTGGATCAGTAACACGCTGGCATGATGTCACTGTAGTGCCTGGTGCACAGTGTCCCCCACTCTGCGGACACTTAAAGCAGATTATCCACAGGGACAGACAGCGGAGCAGCCGGCCTCCATGTGTGAACCGCCACATAAGCTGATCAGAGGTAGGACGGTTTTTTACTTCCTGTCTGTCTGCCGCTCAGGTTGGGTCTGAATATCTGCAGAGGTGGCAGGTTAGTTAACAGAGTCCTCGTGGTCTTTATTCTGTCAGTCTGTCAGTCATTTGACCTGCGGCTGTTCAACCCTCTGAAGCCTTTACCTTCTTACCTTCGGTGTCTGTGTTTATTTTGTCTGTAAGTCTGCAGAGAGTTGAAAGCTTTCTGATTCTGTTTGCTTCCTCTAACGCCGGGCAGACACTCATTTTACAATCGGGCTGAATTTCTGGCTGATCGTCCTTTGACGTGTAGTTTCAGGTCACGACACCTGATTGTTTTACCTGATCGATCAATGATCTGCCTGTCGGGCGGTTGGTTGGATTTCAGGTCAGAAATAGCCAATTCCTTACTTCACCATTTTAATCCTACTTCAATCTCCACCTTACTACTTCTTGATTCTGATTTTCCCGTCAGTTCTCTTTTCCCCACACTCACACTCACATGCACGCGCCTCTGCTGCAAACACACCTGCTTGCATAGGTGTCATTTACACCGGGGACGCCGGTCACATGTCCCCATCGCTCTTTGAAAACATTTGAACAATGTTCTGAACAAATAGCTTGGAACAGCAAATGTTAACTAAAAAAAAAAATGTTTTGAGGAAGGTTTTTTTTTTGCAAAATAAGAAAACATGCAGTGCAATTAAAATATAGAAGAAACAAACGTGCGTTGTCTAAAATAAGTAACAATAAGTAATAAGCTAAAAAAACAAGCTACTGATTATAAAATGACCCAAAACCGTGCAGCACCGATCAGCAACTTGTTGACAGTTTCTTTTGGGCCAAGTTTTCCCCCTGTGAACATGACAAAAGAGGAGGAAGGACTAAATCATGGCTGCATGTGAACTGACTGGATATTACAGGAGAAAAGTTGGTCTGCAGGAGAAACAGATCTGAAAGCAGCACAGAATGACTGAGAGCTGCACTCACTTACATTCTGTTAGAGGGTTAGATTTACAATTGTCACCTGCTGCCTAAATTTTGCGTTTCCCCACACAAATAAAAACATTTCCACTATAAATTGGTACAGACCCCCCGCTCATATGTTTAAGAGTTGAAGATGTTAGAACAAATGTTAATATATCGTCTCGTCTTGTGGGTTAAGTGTCTCGTCACTCGTCAGTTAATATCGTTTTTTATGTATATCTGCCTCATTGTGGACATGCAGTTTGTCTCCTGTGTGTCTCGTCCAGGTGCCGTCTCACTGACAGGACTCTACCTGGTGTATGGATATGGTGCCTCCCTCCTCTGCAACCTGATTGGTTTTGTCTATCCAGCTTATTATTCGTGAGTACTTCCTGTGAAGATACAGCTCTGCCTGTCCCTTTGTTTGCCAGTCAAGACAGCAAACGAGACAGATGGTGCCTGGTGTTTCTCGTATTACTTTGCCTAAAGCCTTTGGGACGTGAGTGCTGAACTGGAAGCTCTCAGCAAAGGATTCCAGCTTATGTCTAAGTTAAAATAGAGAAATAAAGTCCCTCCCTTCCCCTTCCACCCCATGGAACCTTATTTCATAAAGAATATACTCGTTATATATTTTTATATACATATTTCCGTAATAAGGTCCCCTGGTGGTCCACCGGAAGGCCTAGGCTCTCTACTGTACGACGGTTATGGCGGTATTTGAAATGTCTGCGTGATGGACGGCTCGCCTGAAACATTCTGACAGGCTGCCTCCTCTCGTATCTGCAGAATCAAAGCCATTGAAAGTCCGAGCAAAGAAGACGACACAAAATGGCTGACGTACTGGGTGGTGTACGGCGTCTTCAGCCTGGGCGAGTTCTTCTCCGATATCTTCCTCTACTGGTTCCCGTTCTACTATGCTTTTAAGGTGAGAGAGAACACTTCAGAACCAGTGATTGTTGAAGTTAGGACTTAAAGTTGACCATTAACACTCAGCAACACATGTCTGTCGTGGCCCACATGTATATTATTAGATTCTTAGATTCCCCTACAGAATCAGAGACGAGGGATTCGGAGGTCTGAACCCAGGCTAGGACTAATGTGGATCTCTCTGTCCTCTGTGGTTCCAGTGTCTCTTCCTGTTGTGGTGCATGGCTCCGATGTCCTGGAACGGCTCCCAGATAATCTACGACAAAGTGGTACGGCCCATCTTCCTCCGCCACGAGGCCATGGTGGACAACATGGTGAGCAACCTTGGCGGGAGGGCCATGAGTGCCGCCGAGAACCTTACCAGAGAAGGTACAGACCGGTTCAACACCTGGACGTTGTGCTTACACATTAGCTTTTAAAAAGCATTTACTCGGTTGAATTCTCCTGTCTTCCCTCTCTTCAGTCCTGACCACCCTGATAAAGAACAAAGCCCTGGTGACTCCGGGACAGCCGGTCGCTCAGCCTGAACCCAAAAGTTTACCGAGTTCATCAGCAGCTAAAGTAGCTCCATCAGAGCCGAGCGAAGAACGACCAGTAAGTAAAGCACAGCTATGAACATTAAAATCTGGATAATTCCTGTTAACCCAACTGCTGTAAACTTTACCGTTGAACTTTGTTCACTGTAGAAACATAGTTCTGTTTAAAATGTTAAATTCTAATCCCGTTCTGAATGAATTTATTATTAGTTAGTCATGAAAACGAGTATCGATACAGAACTGAACCAACTGGCAGTACAGATAAAATCCCAGCGGCCCCCATCGCGAAGGGTCTCGGTAAACTTCATATGAGCCGTTCAGGCAGAAGAAACAGCAGAAGACTCCAAACTGTGGCACTTCTTTTTGTACAGACTGAACAGTGACATCCATCATGTTAGTTAGTGAGCTTTAAAGGAGTTGGTCGGTCCATTTAAATACTCTTTAGACAGAGCCAGGCTAGCTGTTTCCCCCTGCTTCCAGTCTTTATGCTAAGCTAAGCTAACTGTCCTGACTCCAGCTCAGTATCATCACTTCATGGCCCTAACCCTGACTGCTGACATTTCAGTCCGTCCTCACAGCGATTAATAGATTAATTGATTAGTTGTCAACTACTTAATTAAACTACTATCCAAAAAATATCTAAATTCTCTGATTCCAACTTCTCAAATGTGAATATCTTCTGATTTATTTCCTGCTCAATGACAGCAAACTGATTATGTTTGGGGTGTGGACAAGAGAAGACTTTTGAGGACATAGTCATGGTCTTTGGGAAACACTGACTGACATTTTTCACAATATTCTTATTCCGTTAGCAAGCTAGCTAGATCGATTGCAAACACACCAAATAAATATTCAGTTTATCTAAGATATGTTTTTGTACCATCAACTCCTGCCTCAGAACTGTGTGCTCCTCAAAGGTCAACATGGTCAGGACGGATTTCTCATATTTGCGTCCACAAATGTTGAACCTAGTCCAAAAGATTTACACAGATTTACTTCAAATGTCCTTCAGCCCTGCAAATCAACTGATAAGTACGATTCCATGGCTGCATCTGTGGGATGCTAGCAGGACTCTTTACTGTTAAAATGCGAGTTAATATAATATTAAATGAACATTGTGTACATTCAGATTAGAGATGAGGACTGAACATACTAACCCATCTGTCCTGTTCACTGTTCCAGCCTTACCTGGGTTAAGCAGTACGGTAAGTCTACTGGTTTGGTGTCAGTGGCATATTTTACAGTCAGTGAATGTGGTTAGAGGATCATTAGACTCTCGGTGACCCTCTTAGGACATCAGTGTTGTAACGTTTTAGAGGTAAAACAGCTTTTTTTCTAACGTGGTGCTGTAGCAGCAGCAGGAGCTGACAGGATCCTCCAAGAAGCTACGGAGACCTGGAAGCTTCGAACACCCCTCCCTCCCGGCCTGCTGCTAGACTAGAAGCATCAGCGCTGAGAGAAATCAGTTTCCCTGACTGACATTTTTACAAATCTGCTGATTGGTTTTTAAAATATCAGCTGCAACAACTATCGACTCCAACTCCAAGCCACAGGAGATAAGCTGGAAAATAAATATTAGTCTTGTATAAAGAGCAAGGAAATATAATAGTGATCCTTTTGGGAGCTTGATTTGATGAAAACATCAGCAAGAAGAGTTTGAGTTAAGCATTCATCAAGTCACGTGCAGGGTTCGCCGTTACATCACTGATCCTGGATGCTCCCTGATAAAGTCCGGGGCAGGAGTACGGAGCGCAGGAGGTGACTGGACGACGCGTTTTATAAGTCGCACATGCACTTTAGTACAGCTCATGTGTTCTTTAGTAATGGTGTGTTCACATTCAACGCATAGAATTTTCACCACTTGACTACTTGTGTTTATTCTTAACACTCCCGATAATTATGTCATTTGGGTTTCGCAGCGTGACTTCACGTCTGTTCACGTGTTTGCATTGACTTTGCAAGCGTGCAAAAAGCTCCCTTTACGTTCTCTGTTAACACACAGTAAGACTCACAAGCCGCTGGCGATGCTCTCCCTCTGCCCAACGGCGTTTCAGTGCTCAGTCAGCGCCGTTAAAGCATGTGTGCAACTTACTTAAAGGAGCAGTGTGCAGGATTCAGTGGCATCTAGCGGTGAAGCTGCAGATTTCATCCAACGGATGACCCCTACCCTCGCCCTCCCCTTCCAAGCATGCAGGAGAACCTCCGGTCAAGTCGTGGTTCAGCTTCTTTCCTGTTGTTTCAGTCCTGCAGATAGCAGCAGAGGAAGAGGAGGAGCCTCAGTGGGGGAGAGGAGCAGAGAGGAGAACACCTCCTGTCAAAGGGACTGATTTCCTTTTTATGTCAGATAGGTTATATTTATATACCATAATATTACATATATTTTTATCTGTTAACAGGCTTTAATATATAAATGTGAGAGTTTGGTTCAAAACTCTGCAGACAGACTGATTTTACATCCTGTTTCTTATTGTTCTTATTTGTTAATGGCTTTCTGAGGCTCAGGGGATGTATTTTCTTTTCTTTTTTTTATGTAAATCACCTGAAGCTGGATAATAACACTCACCAGCTCACGTTTAGCAGACTGCAGGTTCTGTGGAGCTGCTCCATCATTGTGAGAACGCTTATCCACCTGCCAGCCTGCACCACCCGGAGGAAAGGGAAGTAACCTGCAGACGTCAGCGTCGCCTCCTGCAGGCAGAAGACATCCGCTGAGATTTTAACAAGGGCATCACCTGCAGGCAGCGAGTTACAGCGGCACTTTCCTGCTTATGAAGAGCTGCTGTTTACGAGTGTTTAATGTTTTATATTTAACATCTGCAGCAGCTGCAGCACTCTGCCTGCAGGTGGTGAAAGCTCAACATCTGGTGGTTTCAGCTTCGGGTGCTTTGCATCAGTGACACTGTATCCTTTTTCTTTCTCATTACACCTGTTGCTGTTATTTATGGAATATGTGTTTTGTTTTGTTCATTAAGATAAACGAGATCATGACCTTGATATGACAATTACATTATGATAAGAAATAAAAAGTACTAATCAGAAGAAAATTGAACACTTGACTTCTCTGTCGGACGGAAGGTGCAAAGATCGCAGCCTCATAAAAATAAGACTGCTGTGAGACAGCGGAGGTTTGAACTAAATGCTAATGTCAGCGTGCTAACACGCTCACAAAGACAATGCTAACATGCTAATGTTTAGCAGGTGTAATGTTCATTATCTATATTTTGTGTGTAACGTCAGTACAGCCTCACACAGCTGCTAGATGGATTTTTAATCCTTTTCATCTCTTTGATGTGTCTTTGATTTCATTTATGGCCATACATATGAAAAAATACCTTGTTTAATTCACTACACTCTATGGTATATACTATATTTAAAGTATTTACGGTTACATACTGATCTATGGATGGGTTATATTAGAAATATCGCTTTTGTGAATGTTATTTATGTAGCCATAAGTAATATATCTACAGGTAAATACACACACCTATATATTCAACATAAAAAAACTTTACATTACTTAACACAGTTATGTTTTCTTATTTTCTATATATATTATTTTTGTCTGGGAGTCGTCACCGTTCATCTGCAAGTCTGGACCGAACCAGCAGAGGCCGACAGAGAAGCTGCAGAATTTGAGTTTTGTCAAGACAAATGTCTTAAGATTTATTCCTCCATCATAGTACTAACCAGGTCCGACCCTGTTTAGAGTCTGGGCGAGTTCAGATTTAGATTTAGATTTTGTCATTGTGCTAAAAAACAAAACAAAATCCGGTCCTGACAAGTCAGTCACACACATAAGATTTTAATTCTTCATTTGAAGGGATATAAACATTCCAGGAAACTTGCTAAATATTTAGTATTGAATTTGGATTCATATAATTTTAGTATTACCGACAGTTAATGACTGAAAAATGTATTTTCTCAAGAGCAAAACAGTAACATGTGTCCCTTTCCCTTCCTCTAGACCTAATAAATGGTCCTTTTGTAATTTTTGTTAACTTTATTAACATTTAAATGCATACCAAGAGCATGACAAACATTGAGGCATCAACATATACATAAAAAATCATATTAAGGCTTCATATTCATCAAAACTACAAATTCACCAAAGGCAGCAGGATAGGTGTCAATTATAATCTGAACAAAGAAGGATAACTGCAGAAGTAAATAAAGAATAATAGTAAAGTAAAAGAATAAAAAGAGTTTGTTAACAGAAAAACACATTCTCATTTCTACAAAACATTCCAGTAGAAAATTAATTCTGTCTGAAGCAAATTTCCTCTGTGAGGAGAGCGTGTGACGTTTCACGAGGGCGTGGCCTTCGTGCGTCGACTGTCGACGTACTGACGTGGCAGGTAAGACGTTGACGTGGCGTGCTGTTTGCGTCCATTCTCCCATCCAGCAGCGCCACCGATGCATTTTCACCTGCTTTGCTCCCGTGTTGACCGTCCTGCGGTCCCATGTTAGTAGCAGGAGACGGTCTGGATCAGAGCTGAGACCCTCCCGCTGTTTTCCAGCAACACAACTTCACCGGTGAGCACCTACAAACTAATCCTCTTGGCCTGTTTAGTGAAAATGCCGAATTCCGTAGTGTAGTTGTGGAAGTTGAACTATAATTGCTAAACAGCACATATGTAACTGTCTTGTGTCTTTACCGAAGATCTTGGACGAATCTTAAGGAGTTTTTGTCAAATTCGGCTTAGAAATATTTCACGGGGCTGCAACGCATTTCCACGTAGAGACCGATTAAGTTAGCAATATTGTCCTCGGACGATACCTGCGCGAAACAGGTTTACTACTGTGCTAAAGTTATATAAGTTGATTCTTTATTGAAATAAATAATTGTTTGCTGTTGTGTTTTATGCCGAATTAAAGAGTTAACACGTAGCATTTCGGAAATGTATTTTAGTCAGTGTTTTGCAAGCTGTATACGTTCATCGACACATACGTGTAATTTAATAGATGCATTAAGAGAAGTCTGGTGAAGGTATCCTCCCTTCACGTGTGGGGCTGTGTATGTTGAATTATAGTACACAGGGAATACATCCTAAATAAAAAGTCGATGTTATTAAGCATAATATGTGCATAACATTCAGTGCCACTGTTGATCAGCAGTGCTTGGCCAGGTAATCAACGTTAACGGGGAACACCTGGAGGAGGAACCTGAGCGCGGGATTTGCAGCTGCTCTCTGTTCAGTCTCATGTTTGTTGTGGCAGGTAAACTGATGGACGGTTTGTGCACAGATGCAGGAGGTGAAGCGGCAGCAGAATGAATATTGGTTCTAAAAGTAAGAAGCGGGTGGTTCTGCCCAGCCGTCCTGAGCCCCCGACCGTAGACCAGATCCTGGAGGACCTCACCAAAGCTGCTCCCAACGATCCGGTCTTCAGCATCCTGGAGAAGACTGGACAAGGTGAGTCCACACAGACCTGCAGAGTCAACAGGGAGGCAGCTGCTGTAAGATAATGTTAAAATACAGTAACTCCATAAAACATAATGTCCAGCAGTGCACACTGTTGACTACATGTCAGTTTAGTCTCTCTTGTAGTTTACTGTCGGTCTCTCTTGTAGTTTACTGTCGGTCTCTCTTGTAGTTTAGTCTCTCTTGTAGTTTACTGACTGTCTTTCTGTGTGTTTGCTGACTGTCTCTCTTGTAGTTTGGTCTCTTGTAGTTTACTGACTGTCTTTCCGTGTGTTTACTGTCGGTCTCTCTTGTAGTTTGCTGTCGGTCTCTCTTGTAGTTTGCTGTCGGTCTCTCCTGTAGTTTGCTGTCGGTCTCTCTTGTAGTTTACTGACTGTCTTTCCGTGTGTTTACTGTCGGTCTCTCCTGTAGTTTGCTGTCGGTCTCTCCTGTAGTTTGCTGTCGGTGTCTCTTGTAGTTTACTGACTGTCTTTCCGTGTGTTTGCTGTCGGTCTCTCTTGTAGTTTGCTGTCGGTCTCTCTTGTAGTTTGCTGTCGGTCTCTCTTGTAGTTTGCTGTCGGTCTCTCCTGTAGTTTGCTGTCGGTCTCTCCTGTAGTTTGCTGTCGGTCTCTCCTGTAGTTTGCTGTCGGTGTCTCTTGTAGTTTGCTGACTGTCTTTCTGTGTGTTTACTGTCGGTCTCTCTGTGTGTTTACTGTCGGTGTCTCCTGTAGTGTACTGTTGGTCTCTCCGTGTGTTCGCTAACTGTCTCTCTTGTAGTTTAGTCTCTCTTGTAGTTTACTGTCGGTCTCTCTGTGTGTTTACTGTCGGTCTCTCTGTGTGTTTACTGTCGGTCTCTCTGTGTGTTTACTGTCGGTCTCTCTGTGTGTTTACTGTCGGTGTGTTTACTGTCGGTGTGTTTACTGTCGGTCTCTCTGTGTGTTTACTGTCGGTGTGTTTACTGTCGGTGTGTTTACTGTCGGTGTGTTTACTGTCGGTGTGTTTACTGTCGGTCTCTCGGTGTGTTTTACTGTCGGTCTCTCCTGTAGTTTACTGTCGGTCTCTCCTGTAGTTTACTGTCGGTCTCTCCGTGTGTTTGCTGACTGTCTCTCTTGTAGTTTAGTCTCTCTTGTAGTTTACTGACTGTCTTTCTGTGTGTTTACTGTCGGTCTGTCCGTGTGTTCGCTAACTGTCTCTCTTGTAGTTTAGTCTCTCTTGTAGTTTACTGACTGTCTTTCTGTGTGTTTACTGTCGGTCTGTCCGTGTGTTCGCTAACTGTCTCTCTTGTAGTTTAGTCTCTCTTGTAGTTTACTGTCGGTCTGTCTGTGTGTTTACTGTCGGTCTCTCTGTGTGTTTACTGTCGGTCTCTCTGTGTGTTTACTGACTGTCTTTCTGTGTGTTTACTGACTGTCTTTCTGTGTGTTTACTGACTGTCTCTCTGTGTGTTTACTGACGGTCTTTCTGTGTGTTTATTGTCGGTCTCTCCTGTAGTTCACTGACTGTCTTTTTGTGTGTTTACTGTCTGTCTTTCTGTGTGTTTACTGTCGGTCTCTCCTGTAGTTTACTGTCGGTCTCTCCGTGTGTTCGCTAACTGTCTCTCTTGTAGTTTAGTCTCTCTTGTAGTTTACTGTCGGTCTCTCTGTGTGTTTACTGTCGGTCTCTCTGTGTGTTTACTGTCGGTCTCTCTGTGTGTTTACTGTCGGTCTCTCTGTGTGTTTACTGTCGGTGTGTTTACTGTCGGTGTGTTTACTGTCGGTCTCTCTGTGTGTTTACTGTCGGTGTGTTTACTGTCGGTGTGTTTACTGTCGGTGTGTTTACTGTCGGTCTCTCGGTGTGTTTT